AGTGACTCCTAAAACAAACGAAATACAACCAACCCAAAGCTTGTACTCACACTACTTTCTCAAAAACATACAGGGATGACTGTGGCTTTTACGTATTCAACTTTATGGTGAACTACGATGGTCGTCGTCTTCTGAACCCTATTACAGAGGTACATAATGCTTTCATATCCGCACACACTACACTCCACCATAAATATGTCCTCATAAAGCTATAAAGAAAATACTCTAACTTTCGCAGGACCCGTACTACCTCCGGAGGCAATTTTTGATCCACCTTTTGACTCTGCGTGATAACGAGGCAATACTACCAGAATATGTGGTGGACCGTCTTCGACAAATTAAAGACAATTAGTTTAGCAATTTTCTACTTCTAGCTTTACCAGAACATTTTCATGTAATTTTCGAAATACACTTCTGTCCTATCTTGACAGAATCATGAAAACATTGCTATGCATGGACAAAGTATCGTCTGGGTTGCAATGACAGTTGCACGAACTGTGCTATGGAAATTATTCACTATGCCAAACAATAACAGTATGTCATTTACTTCCATTTATCATTTTCAACGGGAGGATTCAATATATGCGGTGACTCTGCGTAAATTATGTCATTGACTCTGCGTGATAACGAGTCAATTGCTATCGATCATTATGTCCATTTCAGTGAACGGGAGGATTCAATACATTGCACAGCTAATTTCTATCTCCATACCTAAAAAAAACAACTCATATCCACACCAAATCACACTCCTTTTGCAAACAATGATCGTCATAAATACCAGTATACTATATCTCTTTCTCTCTTTATAGAGAAAGCACCATCATCCAAATGAAACTAATTACAGCAGACATCCATTTTTAACCGGTGCAAATACACTACCCAAAAAAGACACAATTTACTACTAGAAGCATACTTTACTTAAGGTCGAATATACTGACCAATCCACAGGTTACATAATCTTAATAAATTGCTCATAGGATGAAAAAACACACGCCTCTCAAAAATTTGTTCACGTACTTAAAACAAAACAACTTCTAACAATCAGAGGAGTCCCAACTAAACTACAGGGAACCATATTCTAAAGTTTTCTCTTGTACGTAGATGTCCGGCCGCAAGTCCGCGAATTATGACCAGCTTCGTGGCATGTGTGGCAAAACCTACGAGGAAAGGGCACTTCATCCTCATGATCAATGACTTGGTTTTCTTCTTCAACGGACTCACACTCATTGGTTGTGTTCTTCTCAATCCCTACTTCTTTTCTTCTTTTCAGGCTGGCAACCTCACCACCCGATTTATACCTATTCACCTTAGGTCTTCCTCTGCTTCTCTTTTTCAACGGTGGAAGTATATCAGCAGTCAAATTTCCACCCTCGTCCTCACTTGGCACGTCATACTCACTGTCCTCATCACCTCCACCAACATCTTCGTTTCCATCTTCAGTCAATACAGTAGACCTTGATTTATGCCTAGCTGCTCGCTTCGGAGCTTCTCTACTATTGTCACCATCATCCAAAGATAACTGATTTTTCATGTCCTCCAAAAGCTTATTCATGACTCTCATTGCCATCTTAAATGTCTGCACATCTTTGTTAGCAATCTTAGCCACCTCCACAGTCTTCCTATTCAGCATTACATGTCTGTAACTCCTCGATTGTGAAGCATCGACATCATCTTTGTACCCATGTAGATGAGGTGGTATAGTATCCCGAGCATCCTTCGTCCATCTTTTCAGTATATACCTCTCTGGAATTCTTGACAAACCATACTGAACAAGTACCTAAAGGGACAAACCAATGCATTACTTCAAAAAGCCAAACACTACCGAACATATAGTACAACCCAATGAAAATAAATGTTTAGACAGTAGAAGAAACAAATACCCTTAAGATGTGGCTGCACAGAATCCCCTTATGCTCAAACATCTTGCAAACGCATGAAAATTCCTCTCTTTCCAAATCACAAGACACCTGATATTCCTTCCTAAGGAATGATTCTTGCGAGTTCATCCGTACAACTTGCACAGTGCTTTCGTCCTCCCCAGGTTTCACCATGTAAGATAGACTATCGGTTAACTCCTCAGAGAACAATTGGAAAACAGCCCTAGTATATACTTGGGATGCGTGAATCTCTATCGGTGACCTTGTTTTAATTTCAACCTTGTCCTGCACCAAGCGACACCAAATGTTGATTACACATATCCATAAAAAGAGGTCAACAAACCTATCACAGTGGATACTTACATTACTGGTTTGGAATTCCTCCGAGTCCTCTTTTTGCAGCTTCTCATTGAAAAACCGGTCGTACCTCTTAACAAAGCCATTCATAGAGCTAGAGGGTGACACAAACATCTTAAACACATGGTTTGCAGACTCACTTCTCTGTGTAGTAGTCATCCCAGCAAAGAACCTATGGGAAAAATATACAAATGCCCATTTACGCCTTATGTCCCATATGTGACGCAAGTAAACACTTTTTTCCAGATTATAATCTCTAATCAGTTTGTGCCAAGCCGCAACAAACTCCTCCTCTGTTAGTGTCTGCGTAAGAACCTTATGAAATGCTTTCTTGAATGTATGACGCTTGGAGTATATGTTCCCCATAAATTCCTTTGCTTTCTTCAGTACATGCCACTTGCACACACGATGGATTGTATTGGGAAATACTGTTCTAATGGCAGCTGCCATGGAAGGACAATTGTCTGCAAAATTAAGGACAATAATAAGCATCCAATGAATAACCCATCATATACTTAAAATAAGTAAAGGATAACGAATTCATTCCAAATTATAAATTCGGCCAAATACTCACATACCTGTTAATATTCCAATAGGAACCTTCCCATTTATGCACTCTTTGAATGTATTGAATAACCATGTAAATGATTCTTCAGTCTCTTCTCTAAGCAGGGCACAACCAAAGAAGGTGCTCTGAAAGTGATTGCTTACACCAACAAATGGTGCAAAGGGCATATTATACTTGTTTGTTTTGTAGGTAGTATCAAATGTGATGACATCACCAAAATGCTCAAAGTTCAATCTGGACACAGCATGAGACCAAAATATGTTCTTCACACGGCAAGCCTCGTCAACTTGTATACTATAAAAGAAATTCTTGCTCCTTTTTTGCAAATCATTCAAGACATCAAGTGTTTTTTGCATGTCATCGCTGCTCTCATCCCGCCTAATTGCATAAGCTAGCCTATCCATAGCTTTTCTCGTGAATGGAACCATGGAAGGTCCGCCATGCATCCTAGACAACATACCATACATATTTGTAAGACTCATACTACTGTCTACCATCTCTTCAATAATACCACGAGTCCCCTCATCTATTTGATTGTGCGACTGATAATTCTTAGTAACTCCTACACTTTTTTTCATAGGATGGTTGTGCGCAGAAACAACCTTTGTTACTGACCAGCCACTACCAGCTCCAGACCTATTTATCTTCATCATTGCTGGGCACCCAATTCGAACGGAAGGCTTCTTGGTTTTTGGGTTCCTCCCCTGCATAAAAGATTTCGAAATTAACACATAGTACGTCAAGTCTTTATTTAGGTAAATTTCTGCTACTAAGATATTGTTACATAATGTATGTACCTGGTGAGAACAACATATTTGCCGCATTGTTCTCTGCTTTTTAGTATTCTTGCGATCTTTGTCCAGTCGTATCCCAAATCCTTTACTAACAGCATAAACATTATAAAAATTATAGGCATCCCTCTCAGTCTTAAATCTTTGTCCCAGCATCGGAGTAAGAATTTGAGGATCAGCATACTCAAGAGGTATGACAGCACTGCTATCAACATTATCTACCACCATTCTGAAAAGAAAATGTACAATCAGTTTTCAGAAAATACCACCAATATCCTGGCTCAAAAAAAATCGTAAAAATCCGTAACATGCTGATACAAACATTTCCATCGGTATCCCAGCTCCTTCTTTTTCATATGGGTTTCCTTCTGTCCAATCCAGTGAAGGGACCAAATTTCTGT